GATCCAGATATTTCGAAAGAGATACGGGCTCACAATATCTCGAAATTTGTGATTGACCAAAGCGATGTTATAAAGAGCTCTATACTCCATGCGTTCAACAATAAGAAGCACTACCTCTATAGGTAGCCGGGACAGGAGCGTGTTCCTACGACACTTGAATGACCTATCGCAAAGTAAACGCTTCTTTGTAGGGGGCGCACGTTGACTAGGCTCATAGTCTGCAATGAGCCTCGTCGGAAAAATCGCTGGATAAGGTTCGCACATTGCTTCTTCCGTGTTAATTAATGACATCAAGAGGACCGACCAATGGACGTTGACGGACAAAGTTACTGTCTGGTACTGCAATCCCAAATAATCACCTGTATACAGGGTGCAACAGCGACACCCGGTCAAATTTTCTAAATCATGAAAGGCCGATCTGGTTGAATGGAAGATGAAATGCGGAGTCTCTTCCTAACTTCATATATCCTAAATTTTCTACAAACGGGAGATTTATTTTGAGCATGGTTCCAATCAAGAAATAGAAATGTCCCCGTTATAGAATCGTCCGTGCTTGAAGTGAAGGAACTGCTCGAAGTCTCTGCAACTCTCTTCATTATACAACCTTACGCATGTCTCGCTCCGCCCTCTAAATTCTATAGTGGTCGTCGGACTTGAAGTTAGGGACACATGTACCCATAGGAAGGGGGTTTTCACAAGTTCTAAAGGCTGCGCGAGGTAGGACGGCCGGCAGTGGGGTAGACGTCTTGAATATCAGGGCTTTGCTTTGAGGTTACCAAGTGCAAATTCAAGCATCTTAATATAGCGCAAATGACGGGTACGATGTTTCAAAATAGATGACGTCTTCCCGTGAAATAAGACAAACTAGTTGGAAGAAAGTCTTGGGCGGTGGAGTATGCTATTGGGCCTGGGTTCCATAATCTACCCTGAGAATGAACTAACGCCCATCGAGATGACAGTATATATCCGAGTTTTAAACCAAATTCAAACTCTAGTAATGAAAAATATAACCCACACCCGCTAAATGCTACACGCCCCTGCTGAGCCTTCTGATAGAAGCATCCACTGAAAGGTTATCGTCTAGCTGCCCGGGAGCTCATGTCTACTTGACAAAATAATTACTTGAGCCGCCGCGCAGTCCGACCGCGTGCAGATCCCATCACGCGGGAATTTGACGGGATCAAGCCTATGCCACCTGTGGTAAGATCGAGATCGGCGTTTGTTACAGCGCTGGCACCGCAGCCCTCTCGTTTCTCGGTCCGAAATCAAGCAGTAGGCTGGCGGAGGGCTTACGGCATCTGTTGTAAATGAATCTTGTTGGGCGTCATACTCTGGTTCCTTCCACAAAGACCCAACCTCCAGACCAGACACGGTCGCCGGGGAGCTAGTCCTGTTAGTTCTATTCACCAGACAATACTGTCGGTGTTCGTACCTAGAGCTTAAGCCACGATAAACACCTTGAATCCAGCGCATTGAGCCGTTTACCTCGATTGTCTCTAAGCTTCTAGAATTGGCACTTATCGCTCACTAAGTATTCGTTGTTCCTAAAATATCCCCTTCTGCTTCCTTTAACTCAGGACTTAATATAGATCAAATGTTAATCACCATCCTATTTATATCCGCTCCAGGGTCTAGATATTTTTGGACACATCGCAGCCCATACGATGGAGATTGGAGCATGGGAGATCTTTCACGCCGAGACTAGGACTTTGGGGTAATAGGACTAACTAGTGTATCCCCAGAGTACATCTCGGTGGGTGTCGTTGTAATAGAAGATGACAACTGTCTATCCGGCCCCTCTGCCTCAAATGGCCGTTTGGTATCAAGTTCAACACCGGAATTGACGACACGCACTCGTATAGGATTCTTTCCAACCTTAGTTCCGTCCATCTCGGGGGTAACATCTCTTCCTCGAATCATTTGAAGCACTCGTCGCCCCCAGGATATCCACGTAACCTGTGATGCACGATGGGATCGTCGGTAGAACAGAAACGAAACCATGACCACTAGCACGAGGACTGGTATTGAAGCGCCGAGGGCAGCGGGCAACACCCAGCTACGAGACTCGGTGTGTGAGGTGTCTCCGCCTGCTTTCGGGGAGTCAAATTTCGTCGAAGGGGTATTGTATGGGAACCAAGTTTTGATCGACTTTTGATACGGTACTCTGAACAAGGCCTCAACCTTACTGTCCGTCCACATCTGTGGTGCTCTGATATTCGCACCGCCAAGTCCACTATCAACCGTGATCAGTCATTGATATATATTGGGCCACATGGAGGAGCGTTCATACTTGCCCCCGATCTTGCTATTGATCGCGTCGGGTACCCTGTAGTCGCTCCAAGCATCGGGTGCATACTTAGGTTGGAAACGCATCGTGTTGAGGTTGAAAATCTGGACAATTCCTCCTTCTACACAGAGCGAGGGGTCTCTGAAGCGCCCACCCATCACCAACATCTGGTCTGGGAAAACGCGGAAACATCGATGACCACTTCTTCCGTGGGTCGAAGACCCGTTGTAGACCTTGGTCCATATGAAGGATGGCAGAGAAAGAATGTAGACGTCGTCATACGGCACATTCTCCCCGTCCTGTCCATCGTAGCCTCCGTAGATATATATATTGTGGGAACTCCCGTCGCTGGCCGAAGCTAACGTAGAGCAGAACATTGTCCGACCGAGCGACGGGATATCACCCGTGGTGTTCTGTACATACCTGCCATTCATAAGTAAAACGGTCACTCGGCGGAGGTTGCTGGGGTATTACCATGATTGGCTCGCAATATCGTAAATCGGAATTGCCTGCATAAACGAGGGATCCTCGTCGGCCTGGTCGTGTTAGCAATGGATCGCTGGAGATAGAGAGACATCTCACATTTTGCTTCTGCTGGGCCTTCGAAAGGCCTGACGGATACAGCACCTCTGGATATACTCCTCCCCCAATCACGACTAGAATACCACGCTCACCGGTAGGAACCCATATGAGCTCTGCGTCGGCACGTGATACAATGTGATCTGGCAAGGTCTCATTGACCCACTGATGATACTCCGCCTGCTGCGTCATATTTACCGAGATCAGCGTATTGGCCGTAAAGTTGGCCGACTCATCGTCCAGCATGATCGGTCCCCAGTTCTCCCCTCGTCTTCCGCCGAAGTAGAACCCTAAATCCTCGCTTGGTACTGATGCTCCCGCCCCATTTGTCACGAACCTGGTAAGGCTGTCATCAAGCGTGATGTGGAAGAATCCTGGTTCCCAGGCATCTTTGACAGTGCTTTCCTGGAAGGCCCGATAGCCAAGCAGCCCATGGGGCCCTGGAGTGGTAGCACCCTCTGTAGGCCGATGAAGTCCACTGTCTGACATTAGCTAGCGCCTCGTTGCTCCAATTTAGATTCAACGAACCCATAGAGCACCAGGTCGTCATCATTCGTGAACATTGTTCCACTTTCGAACGCGACTGTGTGGTATGCCGGATCGGGGATCTTTGTAAATAGAGCGGAGAGATTTGTGACATCGGTATTGTAGGGCTCACGAAGCGAGAATTCGACGATGGTGCCACTCAATCCCGCTGGGAACGTTAGATGATAACCGGCGTATTGCATACACTTAAACTGACCGTCGTTCTCGGGAACTCCATATGTTCCATCGGAATAACCACTAGATTGCATAAGCATAATAGCACACAGAAGCACGAGAACATCATACTTCAAATCCCACTTCGATCCCCCGGCAAAGTAAACTTTGTCTCTCGTTAAGCTAGCTTCGATCATTTTATTATCGACCGTAAGAAGGGACCGAGGCACATACCCTTAGATTGAGACCAGTTGCACATTGAAGTATTCACTTGGGAGCTCCATCCTTCCGAGCGATCCGTCCAGAGTAGAGCGACCAACAGCCACGCTCTCCATGCTGACCGCATAATCGAGTGATGACCTAAAAGGGTACTTCCCAGGAGGCAATTTCTGGTTATGTCGGACAGTAAATTGTCGATAGTCGATATTTCCAATGAGAAGAAGGAAATCGAGGACACTGGCACTGATATGCTATTATAGGGTGCACCCAGTGCCTCGAGTAACGCCCCACTTTTTACCTCTTACAAAGAGCACAACACTCAATCCCACTAGCGAAGACCAGGTCATGGACGGTTCTGCTGTAGCGAGTCCCACATCGATAAGGTAACATCATTCCTTGGTAACGTGGCAACCTGGCCATCTGGAACAGTCTTCAACCCCTTGACAGTCAATTCGCCATGTGGGAGTCAACGAAAGGTAAATATTGTCATATTGGACCACCAAAGTCATACACCCGCCAGCCCTGTTCGCGGAGGCCAGCCGCATCGGTTACTAGACCAGACCTCGTGCCCATGAAAAAAGCGACCAGGGGCAATACATCTCTATCTGTATCTTTTACACTGCCATGGCTGTCACTTACCTGCCTTGTCTATTGTAGGTCGCCTAGCAAGCATCCCGACCAAGTCGCGTATCCAAAACATGAAATTTGTGTCAAACGGGCTTTCCGGAAACAAAAGGTCTAAGTTGGTACAGTTGAAACGGAGACTTTGACCGCGCCAGGTTTGGCCACGTCATTTTCCAGATTTAGAACCATTTTCCCCCAATAAAATGTAAACTGATCCACGTATTATTCTCCAGGATAGACTTGGAGCGTAATATGTTATTGTCTCTGTTAAACCGCAGTGAGTAGACACCGACCCTCTGTAGCATCACGTCTGATAGTCATAGTATGGCCAAAGTGTCCGTCGGAGGAGCCCGACGTGCGGATCCAAATTCCAGACGGAGCGTTCAAGTACTCATCCAATCATAAGCCTCTTTATCCAGCTACAATAACACTGTCAAAGAAGACCACAGGGAATTGTGAAATTGAAGTGTACAGCAGTACGCACAGTAAATACACCCTTATTATTGACTATGATCTAGGATTTCAGTATTACCAGTCTCCCCGACATATTCTAACATGGCAGGAACGGTCCGGGAAGCGCCGAGAGTTCTCTATGATTGGAGACCAAGGAGACTTGTTTCGTGCGTTTGTGCAATATTTAGGAAGATACACGAATGTCCGAGGTCCTAGCAATTCTCGGGAGTTCGATGGCGTCACTGGTAGAGATTTTAGTATGCCGCGTGAGATGGTACCAAGCACGTCTCGTGCAGACCCTCTGGGAAGTAGCATTCTTTACCCTACCCTCCCCTGCGATAGTAAAATTGAAGATAGTAAATACACTGACGCCTTAGCCTCTCAGCAGTATCGGAATTTCAGCAACCACGACAAGGTCAAGATAAAGATGGAGGATATTCCCCAGTGGAAGCCCAGTGATGTGAAATACCAGTACAGTGATCCTGATGAATTGCGCAACACGAATAATTCCATCCTCATTGTTGGATCCACATTGGTGGTTGTGTGCCGGGGCTCCAACATTGGGTTATATCAACGACGGCATACGGCAGCAGGCTACCCTGAGCTTTACTTGACCAATACCATCTGCCTTGAAATTAACGAAACAAAGATATTACCCTCCGGGGGCTTTCTCTGTGAAAATGAGAGCCAGTTGCGAGTGTGGACGGTAGCAAATGATGATATGTATCAGGTCAATCTCTCGGGTGAATACAAAGGCATCGTTGGGATGTGTCCACGTCGGGGCATAATTGGGCTGCTTGCCTGGTCTTCTGCTTCCGCTGAGACAGACGCTTTTGTCGGTCTAAGTAAAGATAAGCTGATTCGGGTCGCGAATGGGCGAAACTTGGATGAAAGAAAAACGTACACAGGCGAGAAGTTTACTTGCGTAGCGACTATCGCAGGCGACCGGATTGCAGCCGCATCGTTGATGAAAAGAAATAACACAGGCGTCCTACGGCTATATCACGGAAGCATAGACCGCGCGAAAGTTAGGCGCTACTTTCAAAGCAAGCCTATTCACCATATTTGTATCGCAGCGAGTGGTCAATGGATTGTGCTTACTACCGATGGGGAGCTTATTCTGTTCGAAACTTTAGAGGATAGATGTCGCTTTCAGATAAAACCGAAAAGTCACATTCACACCCTGAAGTTGAATAAAGATGACATGAGGAGGTGCCAAAGGGATGGCAAACGGGTGGTTTTCACTGGAGCGTATTTTCACAATAACGACGAAGAGATAGTGACCACGGTGGGACATTTTCTTGTGAGGTGGAGGCTAGATACCATTGAAAAATGCATTCAGAGCGGAGAGGATGAATTTCCATATGTACCCACATGGTTTGAGAAGGACATCATTGCTAGTGGTTCTTCTGAGGGTTCCAAGATTGTTGTGGTGATGCATTCAAAGTCTGTGTGTTACGTGATCTAGGCAAAAGGCTTTGCCAACTCTACTTGACCACTAGGGCGAAGCTGAAGTCTACGCACGCTCTAAGTTGAGACACCACTGCATGAATAATATAGTGCTGGAGTTTCCGTCGTCATGACGACATGTTCCATTCTATTCTAGTCAGTAAAAAGTTCGCTCCTGAAAAGCTAAGCTGGCTTGGTACTGGATGTTTTTCCAGTATGGCCCATAAGCATGTAACGATTGTATATACGCAGAAATGCGGCGGGAATGGCTTCTCGATTAGACCTTGTTTGGGAGCTTGTAGTGTCAACCGGGTGTAGATTTACTAAGCATAATTCTATCTGTCGCAAATTCCATAGGATGCCAAGTTAATTTTATTAGAGTCACTTTGCGTTTCTTGTCTTGTTCCTGTTGGGAGCACCGGCTCACTTATACGGAGACCTTCGAAAAGCTACTCGACATATACGGTCCACCAAACGCCATAGAGTATCAGCATCAGCCATACACGCATATGGATACTAGTCGGCGCTTGCCCAGGAGCACAGATACTATTAGGGCTATACAGTAGCGGTAGGATACTTCGGTTGCAAACTTTGTAGAGACCAGTCCTCACAAAGTGTATACATATTCGTCTCTTCTATCATATCGAAAGATACGGACAAAATGGACTTTCAGGACCCGACGGGCACTATTCAATAGCGGGTTGCAATGATTCATGTAAAGAGGCATCTCTACGGTTGATACGCCCCGTTTGTTCGGTTAAATATCTCCGCCACAGACGTCCTAGATTTTTCAGTTGATGTCCGCAAGATAATGTGAGGGCACATACTGCTCGTCGTCTAGAAAAATCGGCATAGAAGCCCAACCAATAATCACGATCGCGACAGTCGTCTTTACGTCCACTTGTCGCATTGAACCGACAGCGAGGCCGTTCTTGATCTATGACTTCTTGAGAGGCTTTGATCCAGGGCTAAAGTGGACAGTCAGATACATTTCCAAGGAAGTTATAGAAAAGGAGTTTCAATAATGAACCTTGGGGACGGGCCAGTCAGAAAAATGTAAGAATTTAGCTTCACGGAGCACTTCATCTGGATTCCAGACTTCTTGGTTATTGCCCAAGTACTTGGTGTGAATTTCACCACGGAACTCCCCTGTCAGGATCATATATGGACGATGCGGGATGATGAGTGCGCTGTCCTTGTACAGAGTGTTCACAATTTCCATGTCATATTCGGAACCACTAGCATTGTTAATAGCCGCCATTATGCGGCGGAATTCAAAACGAGAAGGTTGAATCAGTAATAAGCCGGTGCTTTGCACACGTTCATCAGGGTTAAGCCAGTAGGCTCGCGGTAATCCTGCCGGGCAAGGGGGCATGAAGAACAATTCGTCCAGGTTCTACAGACTTTTTAGTACAAGGATATTGAAAACAAACTTGTGTTCTGGAAACACACAAACACACCTGCAGTATAGTAGAATCCGAGTCTAAATTTAGAACTCGATCATATTGAGTCTGATTGAAGGCGAGGAGTTTAGTAAAACTCTCCGCCCATGTTGCTATAACACGGTTAGTATTCACAATTTTAATCAAAAAATCAGCTGGCATATACCATCTCCACTGATGCGACTCTGCACCTGAATAGGTACCAGTTGAACGTTGTATTCATCTCGCGCCTTCCGCAGTAGTCGACCCACCGGTTCAGCATCGTTTTCGTCTAGCGAAAATTCCAATGGGTACATCATAACTCGGTCAGGCTTGCTGTTCAAGCGATGTAGGGTTTCAAACAACATGACTGAATTGCAGAGATAAGCTGTGTTGGTGACGTATTGCGTGTAGGCAAAACGCGACCAGTCCACTGCGTCAACGTCTGCTTGAACACCCTGGTGACGTGGGAGATATGCCACCGTAGGCCCATCTGTCAAAATGAGCAGGGACTGGATTACAACAAGAAGGATAAATATGGCAATTATAGCACGTAGGGCTTTCGGAAGGCTTCCTGGCATGGTGAGTCCCGCTGGGGAAAAGACGACAACAAGGCTCGGCAAGATTCCGGGAGGCAATGTGGTTGCTGTCTAGCATCAAAAATAGGTACTCAGCCTGGTGCGCTAACATGCTGGCAGATAGTGGAAACTAGCCTTAGCGCGAGACCAACATTAGACTGGAATGAAATTTTTGTACGCATTTTTTGCTATCTGTGAGGCTAAGGAAGAACAGGGTATATTTTGCTTACCACCAATACAGACGCCTGTAGCCACATGGACATAGGCTCACAGTCAAACTGGTATCATAAAACATGTTATATTTTACAGGACAAGTGGTAATCGACTAGCAGTACCATACTCTATACTTGTATAGCAAGGGTAACGGAACGCGACATTCTCGAATGCAATTGGGGGCGGGCCAAGCCAGCGGAGCTTTACATGTAAACATTGACAGGTCTACTGTAGTGGGCCTTTAATGTCGCCTTTGTTTCTAACCGAAGGAAGAGATGGGATCCCAATCTTGCCTGTATGGCCACCGCTCAGCATTTCAATGAATATAGCAAGGAATTCATATATGGAGCCAGATGAAGCATTCTTTCAGTTAGGAGGAAGTGTTCCGACTATAACTAGCAGATCAGATACCGGCCGTAGGACGTAGGACACGACTTACCATAGGCATTGTAATTATATGCTCCATAGATACACTCGTCCGTGATTTCCTTTGTCCCTGTGCCCGAGAGAATTGTCTGCCCACCACGAATGACAGCAAAGCTCTGAGCCCCTAACCCCATTGATACCTCTTTAGCACTTACACCTAGCGGAGCCTCGTAGGCGTAGACATTGCCTCCGCTGCTCACTCGCACGGTAGCGGCGGAAGTCAGTAGAGATACAACAAAGACGGAGTTGTTCAATTGCTGCCAGCCATCTGGTCGCCCTATAAAGTAATTCCCGCTACTATTATCGGCCTCGGACATGCAGGTGTCCGTCGTCCCGCAATTGATCTCTCGAGGGTTTGGTCGATACCAGAATACCAGCTTATCCGACGTGACGAACTCATCAGGGGAGCTCGCGCCTTGCTTGAACGCGTCAATGAATGGTTTCGCAACGTCTAACCATCCGTCATGAGGCCTACTCAGATCAGCCACGCCACAGCAGTACCTCCGCCGAGACTCACATAGTATTTGTCCATTTGGAAGCCCCATCATCAATGTGTGGAGAATTTAAGGGCCCGATATAATGACTCTCTCCGTAGTCATTCCAAGTGAGGATTTCAATAAAACGAGGATTCAGGGCTAGGAGCTCCATCCATCGGTGAAACCAGAGTAAATCCGACGGGAAAACCCAGTTCTTACTATAGGATACCTCGGGCCCGAAATGCGTGAAGAACCACGGTGAAACCGCTGTAGGGAATTAGTAGGCTATTCAGCTGGCGGAGGCATACTTGAGGAACCTCACGCGCGATATATGATTTTCCTGCGAGCGCATTAAGATATATTGTGTCTCCGTCAGCGACCGAAACATGCCGACCGGGAGCTGGGGCTTTGTTGTTTCCGTCGCTTGGCCAGGCCATCCAGTTCAAGAGACCATCAATCGATTCAAGCTCTGTGCTAAACGGCGGATGTAAGTTGGGGGCAAAGAAGATGGATCTCCCTACTGCTGCGCGTAATGCCATTACATCGAGGCCGTCCCCACCAAACGATGAGACAAAAACTTTGTCATCCACAAGAAGCTGTGCGGGCTGGTTGGAAAACCGAGCAATCTTCTCGCCAATAAGCCCAGTTTGGTCGATACGCCACCAGTTAAAGTCAATGGAAATAAAGACTTTCATGTCATTATTGGACGCCGATTCGTACAACAAGCCAAGTTGCTGATCGGTGAAGGGGTCAACGCCAATGTTCAGGGCAAACGCATCAATACCAAAAGCCCTGGCTCGCTTCATATCCTGATCATAGTCCGATGACGCTCTACCCACGCGGCTTGTGCCCATCTGGATTCTATTAGTAGTTGTTTAGCGTTAAGATACACAAAATCGTAACTATAAAATGAGCCAAGACCAGACGGTCAGTGTCGTTCATGTAATTCGTGGCATCGGCGACAACTGCAAGAGGAGAGTAGAAAAGACACAAAAATAACCGGCACGTGATCGATACATAATAATAATCCATTCAGTCAGTTCGGATTGCATGTCTTGCTTTTCCCTACCACCTGTATAGGTGCAACATTTGTTGCAAGTTATAGCCTGTAGATATTGGCTACTGACGGGGCTCGAGGCTAGGCCAAGGCGGTACCCCACCTTGGAGCGCCAGTACTGGCATCGGTGATTAGGGCATCGCTAAATTTTACCCAACGCGCCCGGGCCACATTACGTTGTCGTTGTTTAAATATATCGGTCCATAAATAGCCTCTCCACGGCTTTTAATCATCTTACCAATGACCGTCTCTATCGTAGTCCTTCAGGTCCACTAACGCCTGTCCTACCGTATCCCTAGACCTCGAAAGGATCCGTTCTGATCTGTATCCGGATCCGCCCCGATCCGCCTTTGGGGCGGATCCGGATCTAGTTCTTCGATCCGTGGGGCGGTTCTATAAATCTTTGATCCGCCCTGTACGGGGCGGATTGATCCGCCGGATTAACAAAAAGGACAAACATAAGAAACCCTGTGATATGCATATTTTATGTAGATTTGGGCTGTATTTTTAAGTATTTGGCTTACAGATTAATCAAAAAAGTATACTAATGAAATAGAAATTGATTTGGAACTCTCTAATTCTATTAAATCTAGGGCTTTAAGTACTCCCATTCACCATCATCCCGCTTTGAACGCTTTGGAACCCGCCCTGATGTACGCCTCTGAGTACCACTTGCATCCTGCAGATTTGAATTATCAGGTAGCGGGATCTCATCCTCTTGGACTTCTTCATCCTCGTCTCCGAGTTCAATCAGAGGTGTATCTCTGATATCTCTAAGAGGTCTTTTACCAAGCGCAACCCTGCTCGGGCCCTGCGATGGTTGAGCCTTAGCTGAGAAATCTTCTTCAGTATCACTGATTAGATCAAACATATCATCATCTAGCCTTTCGCTCTTCCTTTTCTCCTTCACTGCTTGTATCTCCTGTGCTGTAAGATACTCCTCTATCAAAGTATGCTGATCACTTTCAATGTCAAACCTCGATGTACATAAATACATCATAAGATCCTGGATAGTTGTCGGTTTAAGAGACCCTCGGCGGTAATGACAGATATCACGAGCAGTATTGAAGAGTCGTTCAACACCAGAACCAGTCGCAGGAATAGAAAGAACATCGCGTGCAAGGCTCGCAAGAACTGGGAACTCATACTGATTACACTTCCAAAAGACACATGGATTAATCTTGCGAGTACCTAGTAAAGGATTAGTAAGAGATAATAAAAGGTATTTAGTAATGATTCACTTACTACTTCCAAGATATTGTGTAAGCTCATCGTCTTGGTTGATCTCACACCCCTGGGCTTTCTGCCTGTCACCTATCTGATCAACTATAGAGAACTGCTCTATAGAAGAAACTCCATGCAACGCTGGCCGAGTTTCAAAGTAACGCTTCTTGTATGGCTCAAGGTATTTTTCAAGACTCTCGCGGTATTGTTTGCGATAAGGCCCATTCCAGTCCTTCCCAGAGAAGTATTCAAGCTTGTTCTGGGGTGCCATGATAGTCGCAATCGCATAGAGATCACCATAGGCCTTGTCGGTCTCGGCATAATAGTCTCTTAGCTTCTGTGTTGCATATTCGAGAGCGGTTCGCATTATTATCTGCCATCTTGCTTTCTTTCGTCTAAGCTGGTCCCTAGACCTCTCGAGATGATCGAATAGCTGATTGTAGATACTAAAGACTATATGGATAGTGACATCCTTAGTCTTTGAGAGAACACTTGTGAAGTTGAAGAAGGGTTGTGTGATAGAAAGAAGATAGTCAATCTGCTTCCATTCGTCCTTAGTGAGCACAAGGTCAGAGAGGCCACACTCAGAGCAATACTTGTCGCAGATAGTCTGTAGTCTTTTGGCACGCTGGAGCATCAGAAATGTAGAATTCCACCGGGTTTTAACGTCCTGCATCAGAACAAGCTTTGGTTCTTTGGACTGGAGCTCGAGGAATTGCTCTCTACGCTGAGGGCTTCTATTAACCCAGACTGCTAGTCGCCGAACCTAGGTTGATATTAGTATAATATTAGCTAAGAAAGAAGGAGGGGGGGGATTTCTTACCTTATTAAGGGTAAGCACGATATCTTTCTTCTCTCCATGAGCTTTACCCCGGGACTCAGAATCTGTCCATTCCATTTCTTCTCGGTCATTCTTTGGGGCTGCTTCCATCCTGCCGAGAAGCTCGTTTAAACTGAGTTGAATAACATGTGCCATACACGGGATTCGAACAATAGGGGTACCATCTGGTAACACGAGTGAATCAAGAGCTTTCATGATACTATCATGGAGCGTCGTGTTATTTGATGCATTGTCAGTGGTCATTGTTAAAACCCGATCTTCGATGTGATGTTTTTTTAAAAGATCCAAGAGGACAACACTAAGGTCGGCCCCTTTATGGCTTCCATGAAGTGGCTCAAATCCAAGCAAGATCTCACGGTAATGCCAGTCTATATCGATAAAATATCCGGTAATGGCCATAAAGGCTTGGCGGAAGGGCGAGGTCCAGCAGTCTAATGCAATAGAAAGCTTCGCACCTGACGGAAGCATCTGTAGAAGGCCTTTTTGGCGTTCTATCACTTTCGCCTGGATCTTCTGTCGTACTAGATATGCAGACAAAACCCGAGGCGGAGATGAGGCGAGACTAGCCAGTTTGACTAGTTTATGAAACCGAGGATGTTCAACAAACTGAAATGGTAGTCGTAACTCAGTAATTAGAGATATCACACACTCATCAAACTCCTCGAGGGTAAATTTCTCTGGCTGAGGGCCATTAAGTACCTAAGATAAACAAGTTAATTGTAGGTTCAAGGAGGAGTAGGCATAATAAAAATAAGTTCTAACATACCCCTGATTGAAGAAGCTTTCGAATATCCTGTGAGGGTTTCGATCTCCGGCAATTAACACCCTCCCGGACATGCTTATTTAGGGAGGATGTCCCACGATTTCCGACCGCGGGGTGGATGATAACCTGGCTGCATACTTTGCACATGACCTTAGGTGACCCATTTTGAATCATAGCAACCTGATAGAAGTGTTTCCAACAGTCCGCTTGGCGTCGTTTCTCGAAGATATTCCTTTTCATCTGACTTCCATACTCTGTCATCAACCACCACCCACAGAATTCATCATTCATCTCCTCAGTCCAGAGTATAAAGTGCTTCTGGTTTGTCGTAGGCCCAACACGTTCTAGAGTCGGCGGAACAGGAGGTACTATTAATGGTCGAGCGGAATCGCCGTCAGGTGTAAGGGTGGATGTCTGCTGAGATAGAGCACTAGGGGTAAAATATATTGCTCCGTCAGAAGGAATATCTGAAAGGTTATCTAGAGGATTATCCTCAAAGATAGAGGAAGGGTAGGTATCCGAGAACTGAGAGGCTTGACTTTGTGACATAGTGAATAAGTATCACTACTAACTTTAGTAAAGAGAAAGAAGGAGACTTACAGGGAGGAAAGAAGCGAGAAAGAAGGGAAATTAAAAGACGCGACCAGGAGCGCGAGCTGAACGACATTGTAGATATATCAATTCTAATATGGGCTAGGCGACCTACAGCCCTACTATATGATTGGCTTTAAGAGCAAAACGAGCCCACAATAGAACGGATCTTAACGGATTGATCCTGATCCGCCCTGGGAAAATCCTGACTGATCCGCCCCGCCCCGCCCTCCTAAAACCTTTTAGTATGTTTGAATTTGCCTGACTCTTTAATCCAAAGTATGCTATGTAGGCTACAGAGATAGGTATTTCGGTAGGAATCACTTATTAAAAACAAAGGAAGAAATGAAGTACCTTAGTTTATCAGCTAACTAATCATAAGGATATAATGATTTTAGAAGGCTTTGCTTTAAAATAGTTCAAGAAAGTTCCGAAAAAGTGTGACATGATACTTGGGTGAGAATATATATTTCCCATGTCATTACAACACCTCAACTTTACTTTAATAATTGGCTAACAACCAAGGTCGGAAATGATGTTACAACTTCTATTATTCAAATTCCATAGGTAAAATGATTTACATACGGTTTCAAAACATGAAATTTCAACCAAAAAATCACTAAATCTTAGGAGTTATGAATGCATTGACCAGAACAAGTGTATATTACAGTATTTTATTTAGATAAGTCATCATTTATATCCGCCAAAACAGGAAAGTCTTGGCGAGTTTATGCAAATCAGGATCGAAACGGATTGATCCTAATCCGCCTTGCGTAGAACCGCGGTGCGGATCCGGATCAAAGAATTCGATCCGGAAATCCGGCGGATCAGGATCAGGATTCAAAAGTTGGATCCGGATCCGCCCCATTTCGAGGTCTACGTATCCCCGCCTTGGAATCACCAAGCGGAACACTACATTGCACATTGACCCCTCACGAATATCGATGGAGAGTGATCCTATGGATCAGACAGCTATGATAGGCAGGCAGTCCGAAGAAACGATCGAAGTCTTTTGTCAAGGTGAAAGCTTTATGTTTTCAAAACAACACCTGACCAAGACATCGCCGTTCTTGAAGCATAAGGTCGAAAATTCTACCGTGATAAACCTCGATGATCGTAAAGATAGGGTAAGACTCTTTCAAACGTTCCTAGAGACTGGCGTAACATCATCCCCTACATTTGATTTCAATCCTACGCCTCTCAAGAGAAGATGTCTGATCTGCGAACATGACCGTCAAATCAGTTTGTCTTATGGTGCAATCTGGCGAGACATAGATATCTATGCCTTTGGTACGAAATATGGTGTTATCTCTCTAGTCAATCGGTGCCTGGTTAGGATACGTTGCAGACTCTGGATTATCCAAAGTTCAGATCTGAGGCTTCTCCTACGTAACGTACTCAAAAGGAGTAGTGAGTATCGTCTGCTTGGTGGGTTGAAACGCGCAATATTACAGGAGGCAGAGGCAAGACTAGGCAGGAGAAGGGTACATAGTTTATTAGTCTCTAAAAGGGTGAAGAATACCCATTGGCAAGGGCTTAGGGGACCTATGGCTCCTCATAGGCCCTGCCAATGTAGAAAGCGAGCTAATGGCACACTCCTATAGTAGAAACTCAATAAACGTCTCGATGGAGCCAACAGCAACGAGAATTTTAACCTGTCTATCATAACCGACGTAGGCCGTTTAACACGGGATTGCTTTGATCGAGCCTTAGTCTTAGAATTTTCTATTTGATAATTCTAACCGCCTGGATGGACAGGAACGGACATGTAAAGACAGATATTTTAGAAAGAAGCCCCCTTGAGCATTGTAACTTGAACATTGTATGAGGATTTGTAATGAATAATATTCTTATGTTCAGACTTACCTATATTAACATTACCGGAATCAGAGGAAATTTACTCCTATGCTCGATCCAGATTTCCGGTATGTCTACAATGTCTTAATTTTAAGTTTCCGCAGGATAAATTTTGCACGCTCCCCTTATTCACCCGATTTTAGTGGTGGTTGTTAATAGTGCTTACGTTTAAAACATTCTTTCGCATAACCTCACTATAGTTGACATCACGTGATTACCATGTGAGACACTCGTGTTGATGCAGATAGCAGACGCGGGCTATACGCAGTTAATGTTCTAGCTAAGATATCGTCGTCCCTATTCACTCGGACTAAGTAGGCTTAAATTTGCGTTATAGTGTCTGTAAAGGCTCAGTCAACGTAAGTTTGAATCTTATCCCAGGGATACCTCTCCAAATCCGGCTGCAGTTTTACTATCAAAGAAGGGCCTGCCAGAGAAGGGCAAGTATAATAGTGTACCTTGTACATCCACCATCTTAATTTTAGATTGGCTACCAGAATACGGCATAGGTTTGGGGTAGCAAGAACTATATTTGGCTTTGTATTCTCCGTCTGGGAAAAACAGAATATTTCGCATGAGCATTGCACAATCTTCGAGCTCATGAGTTGCTTTGATGCCGCGTTATCTCTCGTAGGGCCTTCGACATGAGTTTCCGATCGAGTGTCACAGCCAGCTTGCTCGCCCAGCTAGGAGTCGTTGCTAGATCTACTATTGACAGTGGGAATGGCTTTGTCACGTACTACTATGACGTCGAGCAGGTGAACGCTTGCGGTACTACATTTGAGTCTCAAAATCAAGGCGGAGTGATGTGTAGCTCCCTCATACCGCTTTCCCTTAACCAGATTAATACAAACCACCTTGTCGCTATGAATAGCACCCAGCTACGCCAAGACCCGGCGAAATACTGCGGTAAACAAGTAATAGTCTCCGTTAATGGGAAGCCATCCACCATGCAGCTCTTCATTGGAGATGGCTGCGAACGATGTAGTGTCGGCTCTTCATCCACCAGGATTTGGAATGCGGAAGGCGCTCCTGGTCTTGACTTTAGCTATACTGTCCTAGACGAGTTGGCCGGAGGAAATGCCTGCAGTTTAGGTCACCTCGCAATCTCATGGGAAATAACTGACACGACGATAAACGACATTGTGAACAGCTCTTCTGGCGTTTCCTTGCCATCAGTATCGAAACAGCCTGGATACACGACTGCGTCCGCCTCGCCCCGGTGTTCAGCTCCTTTGCTGGCCCCGTCGAGGGTGCAGATCGGCGCAAATACCACCATTTCATCGGCAACTGCATGCACGGACAACGTTTGGAAACGCGACGGGAATGTCCTGGAACAGTGTATCGGCACCACATGGACACCCCGTGAGACATGTTTTGCTGGCTGGAGATGCCGCGGCGGTTCTAACCCATACTGCACACCAGGATACGTAGGGAAAGGTGTCACGTTGCTTTAAGTTAGGCCGACTGCCCATGCCGTTGGAATTAGCGGGCTGCTTTGTTGGAAAACAGATGCCATGAGGAATCAATGTACAGTACCCACCGGCGAACGTTTGTTATTGTCATTATCATTTTTTTAAGGCTCGGATAGAAAAGGGATTTCGCCGTAATGGACATAAATTTTCCGTATTCGATTTTATACTGGTTGATCTTATAACTAGTGCTTTTCAGCCGGATTTATTTTGGCTATAAGGAAGGGCACAACTAGCCATGTGGGAAGCCCGTTTTATTGCAACGGTGAGAGGCAGCCTTTTGCTATCTTGAGATGCCAGTTTTGAAAGTTTCGATTCAAAGACCTCCTGCTCTCGTATTTACCGTGTGAAAGCCGATACATTCGTTTAACGAAATCCGGGGTTACACCCGGATTGAAGCTGATAGGCATTACCCGCGCGCAGAAGTGCTGAGTCCGCCGTGGTTTAGCGTAAAAATTATGCTAGGTGCGTGTGGGGCTAAAAATATCTCATCCAAGATTAGGTTATTAAACGTCCGATTCTGGACGTCCGACATATGACATTTCGCCCTGCCGAATACCGCAACGTTGGAAACTCCGACGTAGACTAAAATGGACTGCTGTCGCAGCATGATGAGGGCCTCCGAATCACATTTAAACTCTTCTAGTGGGAGTTCAACTCGACCCGAGGTATAAAAGGTACCACATCGCTAGGGTTTAGGACTTTTCACCGGTTGCCATTATGAAGCAAATTAAAAGAACGCCGCGGGATGGGCGGTTCAAGGCCAATTTCAGATGCTCTGCCCGATATTGCTTTCATTATACACGTAAAAACAAAGTGCCATCAAAGCTCGACGAATACCACGCCCACTTTCCATGCGCCCTGTACCATTACAGTCAAAGGCTATTTTGCCATTAATATCCATGTCCACAGGAGAAACACATCCCGACTTCCCATCTACTCTTCTCTCCTTCTATCTCTTGACTTCGACCCAACTTGATAGCCTGGCCCGGCACTTTCACCAGGTCTGGCCCCCAACACTCACAACGTTGCAATACCCTATTTTAATGTCCCCGTGGATTGGAATGTCTCACGAAAACGATATTAGTTTGGAAGAAAAAAGAATGAGATTTGGAGCTTTCATCGGGCTACGGGGCTGTCTCTCGGACCAGCTTCGATATAGAAGTTGGTTGGGGTTTGGTGAGGGTTCAAAGTGAGCTCGGCCTTGAATAGCAGGTTCCAAGGGCACGTGGAACACATACAACCTCTTCTGAAAGACCTCAGTTGTTACTTTTCTGTAAATGCACTATACCGACCCCCTACTAGCCAGGTCATACTGTTTTGATAGATCAATGCGTACGGGCAAAAGGTTATTGAAACTATTTTTGGCACAATATTCCGGGACACTAATGTTCTTCTAAAGATAGAATAGATGCAAATGGAACCGATGAATGCAGTGATATTGGCTCAAAGGAACGAAGGACGGTTAAGCACAAGAGAAATCGCTCGCTACTCCAACGCATCGGGGGCCAAAATCATACCAATGGTTTGGTGGGCAGACAACCGTTCTATTGATAGAAGACTTTACACCTACTGTAGTATCCACTAGTGGTGCCAACTTGTCGGGACGATCAAGTCACTGGCTCATATTAGTAACTTAGTATTGCCAACAAGTCTAAATTTGGACACCAGTGGTATATTTTTAGCCAGCCTAAACATTTTTGCTATATCTTACCAGGAGTCCTAATTCAATACATGTTATAGTGTCTAAGATTATCGCAATGGGCCGTGTACGCAGAGCCATTGTCAGCTTACAAAATAAGAGATCTCGCCTAACTACTTATCGGAAGCGCTCCGCGGGGGCAATGAAGAAGCTTCATGAGCTCAGCGTTCTTTGCAACCAGGATATATTTCTCTATATTCGCGACCAGGAAACTGGGAAGCTCCAGACATTTGCATCATGTGATGAGAAATTTGTACCCGACTACGATGTAATCAGTCAAGAAGATCGCAAGGGCCCTAAAGATATGCAGATATACTATACCCAGGCCCAAAACCAGAAACAGAACCAGAAACAAAAGCGGAACCAGCAGGAAACCCAATCGAACCAGCAGCCGAGCGACAAGTCGGAAAACCAATGGAACATCCAGTGGAGCAACCAGCCAGTCAATCAGCCGCACAACCAGAACCATGGCCCGAAATGGCTATCTTCTTCGGCAGGCAGCGAGGAGCACAAACCGGCTCATTCGGTGACTACGCCCCAAGCGCCACCTCGACTAGACCGTCGTGGACAGCGAAACCAGGGTTCTTCGGTATGGAACATTGTTTCGAACCCGAGAATCATACAACCACTTAGCAGCCTCATGTCCCAGAGTGAGTCTTGCCAGAGGACATTCAAAGCCACATTACGAATATTTACTGCAATTTAGCACCTTGCCTATACTGGCTACGACTTGCAGGCGTTGTTTGGGTTTAGGAAAAGAGTACTGGAGCCAATATTGTGGGGCTAGATTGGAAGTTCCCTTTTTCTGTATTCGCTAAATAGGCAGACATGGCGGCGGGCGGGAGATTTCAGCAAAGCCAAGTCCTACACCTAGCGCAATCATAATGAAGCCAAATATCACACATATAACATTATCATCGGAGAATGTTCCAAATGGTAGCGCATAGGCCATGGGGATTCGGATGCTGACTTCACTTACTGACACCCGTCAGCATTGGTCGGCCTATTTTAGAAATCAATTACATACCCGGTGTTGAAGGACGTGGTAGAGAGTGAGAAATCACCGCAAGGAAAAGCTCCGACTTAGTAGAGTTGGAACGTTATATAATCATAATGAAAAAGAGGGACATTGCATACTAGGCAGCTATAGGCCAGGCTCCCTTCCCCCTCTGCTCTTTTTCTTGTTCTTTTTTGTTTTTTTTTTTGTTTCTCTTTTTATTTTATTTTTTATTTTTATTTTTATTTCTTGTTCTCGTGGCAGTGGTCCCACCAGCCCTAGCTTTTTTATGTATTTTGTTTAACGCCACGATTTGGGACTTTGCAGCTTCTTCTTCTTCATGCCAGATTCAGGTAAAATTATGCACGTTGAATATTACAACGGCTGTCTATGTTAGTCAAGCCAGCATTTTAGCTTTGGATACGGTGGCGGGACCATTGATGCAGTCGATGCACACGTGACACCGGGAGCCCTCCATCGCTTTGCTGTGTCGGCGCGACGGAAAAATTCCCTTCCAGCGCAGTCTATATGATGGTACAACACAGGCGGTGAATCCTCACCACGACATGATGTTGGTAATATTAACTGTCCCAATCCCTGTTTCCTTGTCCCGATGTCTCACGCGAAGAACAGAATCAGCAGCTCGGCCCTAGGTTGATGCGTTAAGCTCGCAGGATTAGAGGCGAAAGAACTTTCTTTACCAATAATTCTAGGAAAGTAGTTGTGAATAGTAGTCAAGACTACGATATCGAACTGGGGCTTACGACCGTTCTGTGAGAGATAACATAGATGATGAATTCGCAATTTGCATATATCGAGAGCTATCTCATTACCTGGATATACTGACTATAAAGAACGGAGCATTTACCTATTCCATCCCCTTCCCAAATAAGCTTCCAGCTTGCAGGAAGTCATCCTGGGCCTATGCGCCTGCCGTAGCTGACGGGGTACTCATGGATATACTGGATGACGTGACCACGCCAAATGTCGGATTGCCAGTACAGGCAGGCTCTCCCTCAGGTGCGAGGTTAGAAGGCTGCCCCTTAAACTCAACCTTTTCACCAGGTTCGGGGAACCTAATGTCAACGCCTTCCTTCGTGATACAACCGTTCACATTCGCAACAAACATTGCAGGAAGGGTGGACGAGGGCGCGATGGACTTGACGGAGTCTCCGCTTGAGGCCTCAGTTGTCACTGTAATAGGCGCACAGTTCATATACATCTCGCGGTTTCCAAGGCGGTTGAACCAGGTCCAGGCCAACGTATATTTACCCGGGGAGATATCACATGGAATGGTGAAGTTCGACGGATATTTCTCGATCCGAGCGGACCCACCAGCAAGATTTCCCTCCACGTTGGCCGGGCACCCACCGACAAATGAGCGAATTACCTTCCACTCCGAATTCTTGGATGGTTCAAGATCTGTGGTTAGACTGATCTGGCACGAGCCTCCTCCATGCATAGCACTGCCCTGGAAGATCAGTTCATGCGATTCGCCCACACCGATAGTTGTTTCAGTCTCGGGGGCCTCAAATGCGTTATCGCGCAGCTTGCAAGGAAAATCACTACCATCTGCGGCTAACGGATAATTATCAAGTGTGTCAAAACTGTAGGGCTCAGGCGATAGCATGACAACGTGGGCATGAGCTACCGAATGAAGGAGAAAGGTACTGAGCGCCAACCGGCGCAAGGAGACGCGTGATATCATCTTCCTTTACTGGGGTTCAGGATGAGGAACACACGAAAATACGTATTATAGTCCTCGAGAATTGAGAGATTATAGAAATTCCGTTACAAAAATAGGCATTGTGAGACTTACGCGGCAACGTTGGAACCAAAAATGGTCCAAGAGTCTACTTGTACAGCTAGGAAATATGTGAGGCGTGAGCCGGTAATTTAGCGTGATTTTGAGACACGGATATATACGAATGGGATCCCCATTGACAAGGCTCTTCTTGTAACCATGCAATACAAACCAAAGTGAATTTATACCGTGTATTTTCTTCAGCTTTGCAAATCTTGATAATGTAGCTTTCAAGCATCGTAGTCGGAAAACCCAAATACACAAAGATATTCACAATTCTAGAATTCAATCCAAACTCTATATTACTCTTACCGTTGTCTAACATCTCACACTCGTAATAGCGAATCAAGTGCTCTAACATTCTTAAATATATACTCCCTGTTTGATATATAAATTGTCCAGCTAAATTACAGATATGTTTATGGTAATCTAACAGAAATTAGTGACCAACATTGTATGGGTTCCAGAACGGTAATATTAAAATCTCTCTCTAACTAAAAACTATGAACTTGACAATTTTGTAGGATATGCTGACAAAGACTAATATGCACTTTTATGTGAGGTGTCTGATTTGATGTCGTAAGATATTCTGGGTAAATACCCAGAAATCCACACGCAGATCCACCATATTTCTGACATAATCAAATACTTGATGGAAAGTTGCTGACTTACGTGGTTGTAAAATATGGCATTGACCATGGTGTTCCGACGGCGGCGCTCGCATGCAGGATAATTTAAGTCTTGATAGCACAATGTGTTAAAATATAGAGCCGAAAGGGTATACTGCTATAGTTTGGACTGGTCCGGGAAGAGGCTTCCAGATCCGTTGGATCCATTATTGGCGATAACAGCAGTGGAAGCCGGTGTATAGTGTAATAGATACGGAAATCCGTCTCTGATCAACCTTTTGATCACAACGGCATGCGGCGTCCAACGGGATATAACTGCGTTCAATGAAGCCTGGGGCAAACCGGGCTCATAACTGTCACGCTATAATGACCCGTTGATCTGATGATTTGGAGACTCTTGACTTTCTATCTAAAGGAGTGACGAAAGTCGGTTTCTATAATTGTGTTCATTCCTATGCCAGAGACAATCTGTAGGCAGCAGCTGTGCTGCCTTGTGCTAGTGCTGATCACGCTATGCGTAGATCCGTTCACGATACCTCATCTTGACAATGCTTAGAGAAACCTACACTAGGAGAATATTCAAAGAGACGAGCAAGAAAGATTTGCCTGCGCATAGTCAAAAGCATCCAGATACCCCATCAACTGGACCACAGCGGCGCATACCACCAGGATGTGAAAGATCGAATGGGAGCCCCATAGGTCGAATTTGCCAGGATATTGGCTTTCGGGAAACCTGGTCTTCAGAACCACATGTGTTAGGGTCATTTTCTCTCTTGTGTGCGGAATTGGGAGACTTACTGCATAAAAAAAAGTCCCAGATAGAAGGCAGCCTGCTTTTGCCAGAGTATAGGGAAAAGCTTTTCTCATCATCTGCGACATGCCGAACACATTGAGTCCATGAATCAAGGGTGCAACACCGGACAAGCCAGTCGCCACGAACATCAATGCTCGGAAAAGGCGATACTTTGGGCCCTGGAACTTGGGATGCATTGTCATGAAGATGGTCAACGTCCCGAAAACTCCAATCTATCAACCAAGAAAAGAAGAGTGTTAGACAGGAGGTGTGTGGCGTAAACAGTAGTGCGTCACTGGTTAGGTCTTACGCGAAAATGCTAGCTGGGGTCCTAGCACGGAACGTAGGGACTGCGGGTTCGAATCCTGTCACTTTCACAACTTTTACCCCAGAGGCACCTACCGAAGAAAGCCTACACCTTGGTTGACTTGGCTAGGACCTGGATGGTAGACCCGGGGTAGGGGTAGCTACTGCGGTACGCAATAAAAGGCGGGTGGGGAAAACTGTCACCGGTCTAGCCTTTCAGCTTACCTTCCGAAGTACTAGCCGTTTAACTCGGGCCGCTAGGAAAGAAGGATGTCCCCTCTGTGGTAGCTAGATTGAGAAAAGGTGTAACAGTTCTGCAAAGCTCAACAAAGTACGATCTGAGTTCTAGGGGGCGCCCTGGATTGCATTGAACAAAATACAACATACTAAACAATTGGTCACTCGGTCGCTTTAAAGCACTAGGACAGACCGTCCGGTCATTTCTATTGGGAATTCGGCGTTAAAGAAGGTTTCTTGTGGTGCCAGTCCGGGTGCACCGACCTACATAGCTTACCGCACGCTTAGGCAGGCTCCATTAGGTATAAGAATTATCATCATCATCATCATCATCATCAAGAGTGTTAGACTCAAGTACCAGGTCCGGGGTGAGAAAAAGCCAAACTGTGCACATGGAGATTAACTAACCAAAGACCAGTGGATATTGCGTGGCAACGGTTCACACCAGAAAACCATGTATATTCCCAAGACAAGGTCGCCCAGTATGAAGATCACTATACCCAGCATGTCCAGTCGCAGGCAGAAATGTCCCATCTCTTGGGAGTGGTTCATCAAGGTGTGGTACGTTGCCGACAACGACAGGCACGTGGCGGCTGTCAACATGAAGATGGAGAAAGCAATAATATCGGCGCCAGTGACCCCGGAGTATCTGCTGGCAAGGTATTGCGGGATATACCACTCGCCACACAGGAAGAAAACGGCTGGTATGAGGTGAGAATAGATGTTGACTGACTCGTTGTGAATATACGACCAACTGCAGAACGAAGCGTGAGCCGAGCCTGAGATGGGCCGATAGCCACGGAGAATCCACTGGTTAGATTCAAGTCGGAAACATTTCGGCATCTCATCGAACCATAGAAGAGCTGGCCGTCCTGCCTTGCGGGCCTTGGACGCGGTGTCGCTGATAGATTCCATTGCCCGCGCTTTGTGCGCCTCTGGGGGATGCGGGGACGGAACTCGAAGACGGGGAGCGGATGCCATTTGCTGTCGCCTGATGATAATGTGATGTGGGGACGCCAGGCTTTAAGAGTCAGTCAGTGGAAATGCAAGATGAAGAAAAAAGTGTCCCTCTTGCTTTGTTTCTTGCTAAGCGCCAGCCTTGTTGTTACCCCGTTGCGAAGCCCAAATGCAGCAATCCGGCACGACACATCCGACGCCACGATCGTCCAGGAAGAGTGATCTAGCAGGATGCAAGTTACATTGCCCTAGGCTAGATACCTTGATCACTAAATCACGAAAGTTTCCTAAACCCCCGAAAGAGATTACATATCACCTGAAAAAGTATGAGTCTATAAGAAAAAGCCCTTTTGGTCATCGTTGTTTGGATATAAAATGTCAATTTACTGTATTTACTATGGGTGCTATTTTTGTCGTGTGTCAAATTTGATGGGGTTCAACTGTCGCGTGTGTGAAATCAATTACCCGTTTGGTACAGTACTGGGTACTGTAATATCAGCAGTAAGGCGCAATGCCAATTAATGACAAGTCTGCGCTCAAACTGTCGACGTGTCGCCCCACTAATTCATGCGCTTCCAAAGTCTTGAGCTGGAAACTTCTTCCCGGCAACACAATAAAAACTATTTTCATCTATACATGGAGGAACGGATACGTTTGATGTTCAAGGTAACAAAGCACTGTCTGTTTCGACTAGCTGACATATATCCCACTTCCCTTCTACATTAATAGACCGCCTATTGAGGTGAGAAGATATAAACGGCGTTGTCGCTGAAAATCAAAATTAGCACCATCGACACCTTTCCTTAATGTATATAAAGCCGCTGTTAAATCCTCACAAAGTCATATCGAAATGGTCGCCGCGACAGCTCTATCCATTGTGGCGTGTTCATAGAACTCTTTGCTTAGGCCATGGTAAAGTTTTCCTCTAGGGTTGGTGACCTCAAGTCCCACTAATGTAAGTAGCATGCTTCCAACGCGCCCGACTCGGTATCAGCCCTAGTGGTAACTCTGGTATTTGGTATTGTTAGCTTTCTGTTTATGAGTTACATGTTTGCGCTATTGCGCCACAGATACCCTCATGTTTATATGCCGAGCAAGCAAACGGGGTACCTGCCCATATATGATGGTCTTACCAAAACATGGACGGAGTGGTGGGACCTGTTACTAAGTCTGTACACACTTCGGGATGATCATGTGTTATATCATCATTCGCTAGATTCGTATCTTTTGCTTCGATTTCTTCGATTTTGCGCCTCGACGTTGTTCGTTGGTACGTGTATCACGTGGCCCATACTTCTCCCCTTTAACCGCAGCGGAGGAGGTGAAATGGTCCAGTTGAATTCTTTGACCATTTCGAATATTGCAAAGGAGTCATCTTTGAGATATTACGCACACTGTTTGAGCGCCTGGGCCTTTCTGGGTATGGTTGAAAGCACCCCTTTGACTCTTTTCCGCTAACATACATAGGGTGGTTCTTCGTAAGTCTTACCCGGGAGTACAATATGTTTATCAGGTTGTTCCGCAAAGCTATAGTAGATCACCTCGAAACGGGGGACACGTTATGCAGGACCGTCCTTTTTACGGGTGTGCCAGTGGAAGGCCTACGCCGGAGTCAGGTAGTAGATCGTATCGGGCGGGAGAAGTTGTCTATGATCTGGGACGTACCCGATACAAAGGACGTCGAGAAGAAAATCCAGGATCACGATCAGACTGTCAAGGTGATTGAGGAATGTGTGGTGGAGTACATTCGGCGGCGCCAGCAAGCATATAGGAAGTCTACGCCCACTGTAACGTCGAAAACATCCAAACACAAAACAGCGGCCACAGTACCCAACCACTCGCTAACAGACCACCAGAGCGTCCTTGGGACGGAAATGCAGGCAACTATCATGTGGGCCAAGTCAAGGATGCCAAGGTTGAAACAGGAGATCGAGGACCTACAGTGTAAAGGTATAACCAATGAACCCGTTCTTCCTTGTATATTCGTAGAGTTCAATAGATATGTTGATGCGAGCTCCACTTTTCCACCGGGTATGTTGTATGCGCCTCCAAACCATCGATCACAAGCTTAGACTGTTCCTTAGGGCTCCGGCGCTATGATGCAGTCAAGGACCAAATCATCTGGGAAAACCTGCGGTTCACGGGTAGCCAGCGCACTTTCCACAATATATGGGTCGGTGTGTGGATTGCAATTCTCACCCTTCTCTACGCTGTCCCGGTGACCATGGCTGGTGCCTTTACAAGTACTGACCTCTGGGCCGAGCTCCGACCCACACTAACCATTCACGTCCGCGTACCGGCGTGGTTTAGGGGGCAATCGCAGGTCTTTTCCCTGCTGCCCTTACTTCCATTTTGATGGCTGTTGCTCGGACTCCAATTCGCTGTAAGCTATCCTCTAGCTGGAGCTCTGTGTTGGTAGGCGCACTAACACGTTCTCTAGGGACTATCAGGCAGAGTGGCATACCAACCCTGTCATCGCTTGAGCTCTGCATTCACAAGGTTTGCTTCGGCTTCTTGCTCATCCAGATACTACTGGTGACTGGCGTCTCTATTGCTGCTCCACCTCTCATTTCCCAGGTCACCCGGAGCCCTGAGGTGGCCGATATTGTCATATGTTCGATCATCAACCGTACGTCTAATTTTTACCTCTCGTATATACTCTTGCAAGGTCTTACCCTGAGTGCAAGCAAGCTACTTCAAGTAGGCAGACTGGTTGTCAATGGATCACTGGGTAAGGTGTTTGATAACACCCCCGCAAAGTGTATCACCGATGGTCTGAACCAAGGCTGAAATGGGCGAACATCTATTCCGCCTCCACTCTGCTCGCAGTTCTAGGTAAGTTGGGCCGAATCCTCATCGTGACTAATCTCGTTCTAAAAATCTAAAAGGAATCGCATACTCATGTATCGCGCCTCTGGTTGTGGGCGCGGCCGCCCTGGGGTTATATCTCTTCTTTATCATCTACCGATACAACATTCTCTACATTATGAAGGCGACGATTGACACACGGGGCAAGAGTTTTCTGCTGGCCCTACAGCATGTCACCGTCGGGTGCTACCTACTGATTATGTACCTCATCAGCGTGTTTGCCGTTGGACTCCTGAACGACCGGTCGGCAGTCGGCCCTATGATTGTGACAGTTGTCTTATTCGTGGCTGTCGTGATCTACCACTGCTATCTAAGTATGATGATCCGGCCATTTGCTGGTGGCATCCCACGGCCGACAGAGAAGGAAGATGCGCCGCGATTTCGTACTCCCGCGAGTGAACTCTGGACACCACGTATCTGGTTCCCACATGATTTTACTGGGACGATCAAGACTGAATTGGAACAGCTCTCAGGGTTCATGATCGCTACTGATTCTGCTGCCTGGCTGGATGATCATGGTAAAATCGTAATAAGCTTCCCGGAAGCGGCAGCTATTGTCAACCCGTGCAGTAGACCACTATCTGCTAGAGTGATCTCATAACGCGGGAGTTCTCAACAGTGGACATCCGGACTATGCGACTTTACAGCTGCTAGCCTTACGATCCAGCATGGAGTTAAAAGAAGTTATAGAATGCCTGAGACACCATTAGTAGTGCCAATCTTTAAAGGAAAGAAAGCAGAATGTACTAACGCTTGCTACACGACACTGTGGGGATTGAAGGCGGAATCTATGTAGCCCACGATGCTATATTTCCCTTACACTTAATAGTATGCGACATTTAACATTACCAGAAGGACTTTACGACATCCTGTAAATGTAAAGAGTACATCTTCAGCCGTACTGTAGAATGTTACAGTCTTAAAGTTTGAAAAATATATATTAGATTGGGAAAATATTTTAAAATGTGTGCGAGTGAAAATTCGGTTGATGTACATGAAAGGTATCTTACTTCCAACCAAGAGATGATTTCAGTCCCCTCCTGAAGAGTGATTTAGGCTTCTATATGGGGGACAGGTCCTTGAACGTGGTCCAGGTACTAATATACCCTTTTGCCGACACAATTAACCGGCTTGGCTTAATTGTTGGCGATAGGGCTCCGAAAGGAATATGATCATTCATGAATATTCATGAATATTTGCGAATATGAATAATATGAATTGCATAAAATGAATATGAATAAGAGACTTATTCATATTGCATTATTCATGAATATTCATGAATGATCATATTTATTCATATACTGAGAGAGCATACATTACCGTTCATGTTGTTACGTCTCAATACAGGAACCCATTTTCATGTGCCTAAGACTCAAATGCGTTCATCATCTCTAAGATATTACATTCCCATAAATCTTAATATTATCACAATCACTTTTTTGGAACGCTATTTTTGATACTGTCCCTTCAGTAGCATAAGCCACCGCATAGTCTCCGCATTTAGACAGTGTCTCCTGAGCCCCAATACATCCCTGGCATTGCTGAACTCGCGTTCAATCCCTACCTCCGCTGATGGAATTGGCAGGTAATCTCGGGCTGCCTTTGCCATGAGTGGAAAGCTAAATACATTCGCCTTCCACCATTTGAGAACCCATTCCTCGTCTGCATCGTCAATCATATGGTGGGACCAACTCACCGGTGGCGCGTCTAGATATCTATCAATGTCTGAAAGAAGCGTCCGCTGTGATGGCTGTACTTTTCGCAGCGTCCTCCACATAGTCTCGGACATTCCCGGCGGGCGATCCACTACACACGACATGGACAACTCCTGCGGATACTCCCTCTTTAGGAACTCCCGCACTTGAGAGATGATCAGTCCCGCATCTTGCTCGCTCATCTGCGATCCAATCAAAGACGATTTAATACGCGGGTCTAGGACGGAAGCCACGTAGTAAAGAAGATTGGTGTCCATCTTCCTTGCAAACTTGTTCATCTTTTGGATTCCTCTTTCCACCGCATCCCGGATCTCGGTATCCACACCTTCAAAATCTCCTTCGGCTTTTTGAACCTCGTCAAGGAGGTCGTCTAGACTCCAATAGATAGGCAAGCTCTCAACGATCGTGGGACAAGATTTTGATACGGAGTTGGTGTGATCCCAGAATGGCTTAAGAACCTTCGCTACTTGTTGAAGAATCGACCATTCGTTCTCGTTTAGTTGAAGGGCGTGAACTTCTGGATGCATCCGAACAAATTGTCCAAGTTCCTTCTGTAGCCGAAGGGCGTCCGCTATCATGATATAGGTTGAGTTCCATCGAGTGTCAACATCGTAGCCCACTTGCTTGGCTGGTGACACATCTTTCCAATTTTGGCGGCGCTGTGGACTGCGGGCAACCCATAGGGTCAGCAGCCGGATCTTCATGATTGCTCCCTTCGTGCTGTGGGCAGAGGTGAATGTTGGGCTACTTTGTGTGGCCATGTCGTCCAGTATAGCCTTCGCCTCTCGAGCTGAGCCGGCCCTCAGGGAAGCAAGTACATCCCTGCAAATGAGATTTATGACGTGGGCAAGGCAAGGAATGAAGCTCTGCCGTCCACGAAACCGCCAAAGAGGTCTGATGCGAAATTGGTCGTCTTTATCGTCATAGTTCTTGAGAAGCTCGGCGTGAAGACTGTCGCAGAGAGTTCCATTGTTGGCAGCATTATCCCCCGTAATTGTGAGGAGCTTTGGCGCGACGTCTAGTTCCTCAAGCATTCTAATCACAATTTCCGCAAGGTTCTCCCCAGAGTGCGGTCCACATATGTCAGTAAACTCCAGAAGCTCTTCCCGCTTCTCAAACTCGGGTGAGATCCAATGGCCAATGATGCCCTTGATCGCTATCTGATTCTCCGATGTCCAAACATCAAGAGACAGCGCAAGCGTGCGACTACTACTGGCTAATTCTTCTTTCACGCAAGTCCGGTTTTTGCGAAATTCCTCCTTGATCCTGTTGAAGAGAGTGTCGGCCGTCTTGATGGGTAATATAGCCCCTGTCGCTTCAAAAAGTGCCCTAAATGCCGGATGCTCCACTACCGTAAACGGCTGTCTCGTTTGGACAACCCATTGTATCAGCATTTGTTCAAGGCCCGCCCTTTCTTTTGCAGGTGTCAAAAAACTGTCCAGGGTCGTTCCGATAGTTGACGATGACGTGATGTCTGATCCGGAACTGGTGCGGTGCTTAGCCTGGAGATGGGCCAACAAATTCGAAGTGGAGCCATAGCGTGCCGAATCCCTGGATGACCAACTGCACTGCCTACAGACTAAGAGCCGATCCTTCTTTGGTGGCCCACCCTTTCGACGCCAGGTGTTGTCTAGCTCTGTGATCCAGAAATGCTCGAGGGTCCAGCTAGAATATGACTTGGCTTTTCGTCTCTTGTAAGTCGGTGGGCTACTCTGACTGCTAGTCAACCCTGATAGCGTGGGATCTAGCGGTGCGGGCGAAGACCTGGAAATGGGTAAGGACAGCACGGATGGGGACGTCTCTTCGCCTTCTGTAAACTCGGATGGTGCTGGCGAGCAGGGGCTCTCTATTTCACGAATATTTCCTTCCCATGGCTCAGGGAGTAGGGAGGGTGTGCCATTGTTCAGAGCATTGTAGTCGCGACGCGGAAGACCACGCGTCTTTCGCACAAATGGGTTAGGTGAGGATGCCATTCTGTATTTGCCCAGTGTTAGTAGTCCAAGTGGTACCTGGGAGCGAGGCGGGGCACACCTTTAGTATCACTCGACAATACTTGATAGCATGGCGGGTCGGAAATGAACGGTGAGAATGAAACAATGATGGGGAAACACTAGCTGTGCTTTCGCCTGATGCAATCCCAGTAAAGTGGAAAGTTGATAGGTCTTTTCTTTACACGCGGCGGTTTCTCGCTCGCGACTCTCATGGTAAACAATCTGTAACCTGCATGAGAAGTGAGTTAAGGTGGCATGATAAACGCGTTTTTACGTGCCAATAGTCATGGTTATAATAAATCTAAACTTTGGAGTAGATCGAGTGGGAACAAGAGAAGTTATGGTAGTCGATTTAACTAGAGCAGCAAAGATGTGGAAAGACGACTTGTAGATATATATAATTTCGCTCGACTTTCTGTAGCAACCGTTGGTCACCAAAACTAGACATTTACCTATAAAAAATCACGAAAAATAATGACGCAGAATACATAGAGCTTACCGAGCCCTACAATATAGGGTATATACTTCAGAACATGGATTGCATGGGAAATATTTTCTACTTATGCTTGACCGAGGCTGTGATCGCACTTGAAATACAAGTTGGCTAGTGGAAACGTGTATTTCTGTAATACAAAAACCGGGGAAACGGAAGATCCATTAATGCGCGCAAAATGCATGATATGAATAATATGAATGCGAATATGAATAATGCGCTTATTCGCGCGAATACGATATTCATTTATTCATATTCGCGGGGTGCGAATATGAATATGCCCTATATTCGCATTCATTTATTCCTTTCGGAGCCCTAAGTGGAGTAGAGCTCTATGCTCGAACTGTATATTAGCTGAGAAATGAACTGTTTTATTTATTTTTATTTTTTTCCTTCCTTGCTTGATGTTGCTTTTCGGGATTCCTTTTTTTTGGAATTTCTTTTTTTGACTTTTTTAGTTTTTTTTTTTTTTTTTTTGTTGTCTTCCTTTTTGCCCTGAAACGAAGGAACGTAGTGAAAGGGTTTACAACCCTGCGCGAGCTGCCCGCCAACCTTTGCTGGCCTCTCACTGCCAAACTCTTCGTTTTTTTCGTTGCCCTGAAACGAAGGAACGTAGTGAAAGGGTTTACAACCCTGCGCGAGCTGCCCGCCAACCTTTGCTGGCCTGCCCTGAAACGAAGGAACGTAGTGAAAGGGTTTACAACCCTGCGCGAGCTGCCCGCCAACCTGCCCTGAAACGAAGGAACGTAGTGAAAGGGTTTACAACCCTGCGCGAGCTGCCCGCCAACCTTTGCTGGCCTCTCACTGCCAAACTCTTCGTTTTTTTCGTTGCTAATTGGTGCTTTCTCGTGCCAAGGAATGCTCCTATTGACTGCCAATACGCTCCTTCTCGTTTGCTGCTGCGACTCTCCAGGCTCTCCTCCGATTGCTGCTCTGTCTCTCCGCGCTCTCTTCTGATTGCTGCTCACCTACTTTCCTTTCCTTCCTCCTTAGGCTTCGTGCTTCCCGAATTCGTATTCGGCCTCTGTTGCTTTTTCTCCGTGTCTAGGGATCCCGGTGTTCCCGCTCGTCTTGGAGTCGGTGTTCCGGCCTTCTCGCCTTTCTATTATGATTCCACGCTTATTTGTCCTGAGCATCCTGCAGATAGTACTATTATGCACTCATGTGCACGGTGACGTGTTCGACTTCTACTATATGAATGATCAACACGGATCTTTCTCGCTGGCCCGAACTTTTTCCTGTCGCTCCTCTCCCAGTGCGCCTTGGAACGGATGCCGTTTGCTGGTTTCAAGTCATCTCTTCTCTAATGACATCTCCTCCTGCGCAACGTTCTTTCTGCTCTGGTTGCGCCAGACCATGGCGCTCTACACAGTTTCGGTCCTGCGACAATTGCC